ATCTATTATTATTATTATTATTATTATTATTATTATTATTATTATTACTTAAAGACTATGGACTACTGATAAAGAATGATATCCTGTGTACTCAACACAGAAAAGAACTACATCCTATTTATACCTGAACTTTAATAAGAAATGGGCCTATATGGAGAATTAATACAAGATGTTGTGAGTAAACAAGATATGTTATTTTTCAAAGAAGATTTTGTTGTTGTTTTCTATCTCTGAGTGCATATTTTAACTAAGAGGTTTCAAGTGAGTGTGCATCTTTTGGGCAACTGCAATTTTATCTTCAAAGAAACAACTGTTCTCTACTAACCAAATATATATATATTTAGTGTCATGTCTTTATCCTTGGAAGTTCAAAGACATGGTTCTTCAGTTTAATAGCTGAGTTATTTATTTATTTACGGTATTTCTATGCCACCCTTCTCACCCCAAATGGGACTCAGAGTGGCTTACAATATATATTTTCATACAATATATTATATTATTAGCATAGTACAATATCAGTATTATATATTACTATATTGCACTATACCATTATATTACCCGTGTGCCATTATATGAATGCTTATGAATATCACTGGTTCAAAGGGTTGACTTCTAACAAGGTCATGCTTTACTTAACCAGTGGCTTTCAAAAGGTGGTCTCCACATATTCATGGAGATTCACATTTGCCAAGCAGATATGACATCATTTTTACCTTTTCCAATAAGGTTATGGTGCAGTTATTTCCAATAGAAATGACATAAACACACACTTCAGCATCTTGAGTAGAAAAGTCGAGAAAGATTTCCCCCCCTTGATAACAGTTCTAGGATATTTCAGGAGGCATGGCCAGCCCCTGTTAAGTTATGGAGAGAATTCACTTCCTGAAAAGAACCTTACTTGAATCTTGCTCGGAGTCCTTGGCGTGCACTTGCATTGCCAGCTAGCTCTCACTACTCCAACTCTGAAACTCATTCTACATGTCCCAGATTCTCTATCCTCACCAAATTACTGGCATCAAATTGAGACCTTCTTTGCCTGGTATCTGAGAACTAAGGAGCAAAGTTCCCTTTTAATGAAGACCTTGTGTCCTTCTGACCAAATCCATAATCAGAGTCCTAAATGGAAGGACCACCTGGGAGTTTATTTCTATGAGATGGTGCAGTCATAGTTGGTGTGGTTGAGATGTTGCTGCTGGTCAGCTACTAAGCAACCAACCCTATTCCAGGCCCAATAGTGTTTGAGGGGCTCCGATGACCCTCACGGCAACTTGTCTCCTTGAGACATTGGCTTCTGAAGCCCTGAGCTGAGCCACTCACACAAAAAGTCCCTTCCCTGCCTTTGAGGGCAATTTCAGGCAACGCTTGCTGCCTTTCAACAGCCTCCATCCATAATTAAGAATAAAACGTGCTCGGGCTTTGCTTTGGGGGGGAGACGGAGCCGCTCCGCTTGTTTTCCGACTTGTAGTTCAACAACAAAGAGTGGCGGGCGAGCCGAAACCTCTGAGCCAAAGGATCTATCTGCAGATGCAGCGATGATTTCATACAAATAAGAAACCAAAGGCACCAGCTGTGCTCACAAACAAACAGATTAATAGAAGAAAGGCGGCCTGGCGAAGGATGCTGCCCTTCCTTTCATGGGCGAGATTCAAGAACGCGCTCCCCCTCGCCGGCGGTTCAGCTTGAAACAGAGCGGTCAGGAGCCCCGGTCCTTCACATTACAAAGCACTTCCACAATTTCTCGCCAAAATAAATTGGATCTTTTCCACTGTTTGAGATGGCAGCGGAGCAAGGACTGCATAATTAGGTCTGAGCTGATTACCTAGAACAAGGGCAATTTTCTTTACATGCGAGTAAAGCTTCATGAAAAACGGCCAAGAAAGTCCACTTGGGAGTAGCTGGCCGACTGTCCAAAATTCCTCTTGATGGAAGTGATTTAACTACATTTTAATATAGATGGTATTTTCTGTTAATGTCAGGGCAGAAACTTATTGCTCCGCATATCTCATCACAGGGGCGATCTCCGCATCTGTCTGAGTCAACTTCAGTGACCACTTTAATATTCACTTTACAATTAATGCTGCTTTTTTATGGCTCGCTAGAAAGTAAACCAATTTCAGCCCAGCTCCTCAGTATTGAATTTATTATAAAAAGTTATGTACTTAAAACTCCTATAATGAAACCAGAGGCATCATGAGATATTAACCTAGAGTTAATGCTGAGAAAGCCGGTTTGAATAATTCAATTCATGTCACCTTAAGTATCTTTTCAAATGGAATTAACTTTATCTCACACACGCACACACACAAAAACGGAAGTGCCACATTCCAGTTACTGATTATTGACTCCACAAGGGCTCTGTCTTAAATCATTTCGCCACCACTTTCCCCCAGTAAGTTTGCGGACTTCATGCCAAGACGGATGGATGCTCAGAATGGGAGCACCAGACTGTGAACGGAGGGCCATCTCCTCTCATGCCCATCCACTGATAACAGGCCGCTCTTGGATCCCAGGAACCTACGGAGCAGAGCTGGACCAAACAATTCTATTTTTGGACTGAAATGTGGGGTTTTCAGGAGAAAATAAGATAATGGGTCAGCATGTAAAGCATTCTTTTCCCATTTAATCTAAGCGCCAACATCCTCATCAACCTCAGACTAATTTTACTTAATTTAAATGGCTTTCAAAAAGATTGAAAGAAGACATTCAGGGAGTTGTTAACTTACTTTTTACTGAGGCGATCCCTCGTTGTCTGAGTAGGATTGCCTTCCAAGATCGTACTAGCGGTGGGTACATAGGTGACTGTGGAGCCCTATTCTTGACCTGCATGTTCTCCCGCAGTGAGGGCATCGGTTTCCAGGTGGAAGGTGGTCCCGGTCAGGGTTGGCTTGATGCACCTTCCTCTTGGCACGTTTCGCTCTTTCGCCCTCCATTCATGCCTCTTCAAATTCTACAGCACTGCTGCTCACAGCTGACCTCCAGCTGGAGCGCTCAAGAGCCAGGGCTTCCCAGTTCTCAGTGTCTATGCCACAGTTTTTAAGGTTGGCTTTGAGCCCATCTTTAAATCTCTTTTCCTGCCCACCAACATTCTGTTTTCCATTCTTGAGTTTGGAGTAGAGCAACTGCTTTGGGAGACGGTGGTCGGGCATTCGGACAATGTGGCCAGTCCAGTGGAGTTGATGGCAAAGGACCATCACTTCAATGCTGGTGGTGTTTGTTTCTTCCACAACGCTGACATTTGTCCTCTTGTCTTCCCAGGAGATTTGCAGGATTTTTCGCAGGCAACACTGATGGAATCATTCTAGGAGTTGCATGTGATGTCTGTAGACAGCCCATGTTTCGCAGGCATATAGCAGGGTTGGGATGACAATGGCTTTATAAACAAGCACTTTGGTATCTGTTGTTAACAGAACCAGGTAGATATACAGCATGACCCTCCCAAACCAACAGGACCATCAACCATAGTTTCACAACTAAATACAGTATTTTCAAGGTATTTTATAAACCCTAGAGTTTTGTTTTGTTTTTTTGTTTGTTTGTGTCAGGGGCGATTTGAGAAACTGAAAGTCACTTTTGGTGTGAGAGATTTGGCCATCTGCAAGGACGCCCAGATGTTTTTGATGTTTTATCATCCTTGTGGGAGGTTACTCTCATGCCCCCATAAGGGGAGCTGGAGCTGACATAGGGAGCTCATCTGAGCTCTCCCCGGATTTGAACCTACAACCTGTCTGTCTTCAGTCCTGCTGGCACAAGGGTTTCACCCACTGCCACCAAGACTCCTAGAGATGATTTGGTATTTTCTAGGTCCTCCAAGGTAACTCTTTAGTAACTTCATTCATTTGAATATAGTGCACTATTATCTACGTTGGAGTCACTTATTTCAATATGGTTTACTGTTGTCCACCATTTCCTGTTCCTGCGGTGAATTCAGGAATATAACCTCCACTGATACAGGAACCAACACTTTGACCCAAAAACATTCTGACATCTTATGACAGAGAATATGGTTTCCTTGTGTAGTCTTTGTTTGTAGGACTTCTTCTACATTATGTATCTACCAGTCTTTCCCAGCATATTTAATCTTTGTCAAACCCATCCCTATGCTCATAGAACACATCCTTTATTGCTACTACCTCATGTGTGCTAATATAATGGGCTGTTTTCTTTAAAGAGAAGGTGTCATAGGTAACACTGGTTCCACATGGTTTCCATTCCCATTGCTTCTTTGAGACAAGATGGAAAATTGAGTGCTGAACTCATTACTCCCCTTGCCCAAACCACCTGCCCCACCTTGATGCTTCCAATCATAGACACAGTGCACATGTGGTAGTTCTCACCTCTCCAAGGATCTTATGCACATTCTCAGGTTGCCAAACTGAGATGTATCCCAGTTTGGGCAAGCAGGGTCCAAGATGGCATCTACTAGACCTGTATCAACTACAACCTCAAAGTTGGAGCGGACCCAAACAATTTTATCTGCAAAGCGCTCCACAAACTCTTTACAACATACAACTCTTGAGGAATGCTTTGAATGTGGCTTCACGGATTTGTCCTTCCTGGATCTGTTTCTTTATGAATCGGCTCTTTCACTGTACTAGATTGTTATTTCGAAGGTCTATACATTGATGTGAAAAAAGGACAAGCTTGCTGTAACCAACTGACTTGCATAAGGCTCATCATATCACAATATTCGGTCATGAAGAGACCAGCGTTTCAAAACTACATAAATATTCTCCTGCATTTGAGGGAAGGAAACCAGGCCCTCACGCATCATATTATGGTCAATGACACCACTGTACAACTGATGCACTAAGGAGAAGTTTCTTACCTCTGGGGCCCATTAGAAGGGAAGGATCCACAGAAACGCCACCGCAACAGGGAAGGTGCAGCAAGTTGAAATGCTCTGATATCCCAGAGTTTCATAGCTGAGGAGAACGTTCTAATAGGATGACAGATAACAGCCATCCAAAAGGAAGTAATAAATGCGCAGATGAGACACTTACCTGCTGCTCCTTCTGCTTGGCAGCCTCAAGCTCCGAAAGGGAATGTGTTAGCTTTTCTTGCTGCTCCGAGAGATATTTCTGGTAAAGGCTCAACAGTTCCTGGCACTCCCTGTATTGCTGCTGCAAAGGTGAGACAGCAAGTTAAGGACAAAAACGTTGTGCAAGGAAGGGGAGAAGGAAAGGAGGCCATTTATTCTGTGCAAATGTGGTTCAGCTATCAAGGTAGGAACTCAGTGTCAAATGCAAAGTGGAAGTCAACTTCAGAGGCAAAGAAGGATAATATGGCTTCCATAAACCAAGAAATACATCATACAGAGTTACATTCCTCCATGACTACAAGTGTTCATATTCATGGCCAAATATTAGATGTTTCTGCACCTAGGAAGTGTGTAGAAGCTTTGCTTTGCCTACAAAGCTCATCCAGATGCTATAAGGTGAAAGGAGAAATGGCACACTTCATTTATTGCAGACAAATGACACCATCATTAAATGCCACACATTGGCATTCTTGGTTTGGTGAGATACTGAGTAGTGAATGGCCTGGTATTAAAAAATGATCAGCATTATGTACCTTCATGCAAAACATACACACATCCCTGCAGTAGTGTTTGGTGCTTGAATTTCAACCCTTGGCCCCATTCTTCCAAGTTATCAATCCATCCATCACCCAAAATCCAAGGCTATTTTATGTTGATGCCTCATCAACCACATTGATGTTTCTGTGCTGATTCTGTGTTTTGTTTTGTTTTGTGCTGATTCTAACCTTTACGGGTCTTTACAGCTTAAGATGAGAGTGCACCCTGCCCCCTTGCTTCCATTCAATGTCCACTCCATGACATTCTTGTAGGGTCTTTTGCAGAGACCCTGCCATCTGTTTGGCTGCTAGGTCTATCAGATCCTTTTACAATGGTGCTCAAATTCTACAATTTTCTGCCAAGGAGCTCATCCCAGACCTGGACAAAGAACTTTCCTATTCTCCTATTCAACTACAATTAGACCTCCACAAGTTGGAACCATTATCTGCAGTTTCACTTATCGATGCACTGGGTCTCTATAGAAATTTGCTAGATATTCTAGGAGATTCTACAGTCTACATACCCTGGATGTTATCATCCAGTTGTATTGGGAGGACATAGCAAATTCCTAGAGAAGATACCAGAGTATCAGTTCAAAGAAAGAAAGCCTAATCTTCTTTCAGTCTTCATTAGCAAACTTTTTTAACACATTAGATCTATATGCTGACTTGCAATTCCACTATTGCTTGAATGGGCCTACTTTTTCCTGGCATTAACCAACAAAATGGCCGCCTTTATCTCCCCCACCCTTCCCCTTTTACATTTGGACCTTCAAGAGCTTTCAGATAGATTTTGGCAGGATCCCTGCTCGCCTGCTAAGCCCCAATTCCTATTTGTCCTAACAAGACATGTTAGGAACTTCCATCTGTCACTTCTCGTGCTCTTGCTTGGTTTGATTCCTTTTACAGCTTCTCAACCACTGACCATTGACTGTTTTGGCTATTCTCATTCCTCTGAAATCTTAGTCTTAGACTGTTTTCATCTATCTAACCACCCAGGTATTCCCATCTTGGTTTGTTCTTTGACTATGTATCTGCTTCCATTACATTCTATGACATTATTTAAGAAATGTCTGGATTGCTGGTAAGGGCAGGAGGAATTCCTAATAGGACATCCACTCCAAGTGCCTCTTTTGCCTAGGTGAAGAGCATGTGGTGAAGGCATCCAAACACTCCTAGGCCTTCAATCCAAGGAGCAATAAGGAGCAGTGGCTTAAGACTCCCTTGTACGAAACTATCCTTCACACCCTCGTTGTTAACCAAAGATGTGGAGGACCTAGCTCCACACCAAGTCATTTCAGTGCCATTGGCACCAACCTCAGTGTAGAAGGCTACGATGTCAAAATCCACTCAAGGAGTGGACACGGTTGTTGCATTGGTTTTACCTGTGCAAATGCACTCAAGGTGACTGCTGAGACCTGGACACTCAGAAATGAGTCCAGGAGAACATTAAGCTGTGGGCCTGAGATTTCTCTATGATTTGTATACAGTGGAGACAAAGTACAAGGTGGGATAGAATATCATAATTCAGCGGCAAACTGCAAGAAGAATGGAAACAAAGTGGTGGCATTGGTGCTGGTGGTTTAAAAAACACAAGCAGAAGCAGAAGGAGCGCAGAGATGCAAACGAGGTAAGTGTGGATGATTTATTCATCAGTGGCCGGCATGGTCATCAATTTGCTTGACTTCATTCCCAAACGCAAAGCCTTTTGCAAACTCCCCATGGCTCGTCGGCAGGCAACGCCTGGCAGGCCTTTCGGAGCCCGACGACAAGTTTTGGACAGTGATCTAGAGAAGCAGCAAAGTGTGGCATTTGCAAGGATATTAGCAAAAGCACCCTGCCTTGCTTGCAGCATTGAAATTCCGGGAGGAGATGAATTGGCTCTTCACCTGTCACTGTACTATTCCCTCCCTTGCTCATTTAACATGGTAAACCATTTACTTGGCATTCCCCCCTCCCAGCATTCCTTTTACTCTCTCTGCCTCCGTGCTTTTAATTATGCATGCAGACAGGGTGAGCGCTCCCTGTCCAAAGCCATTCCTCCAAAGTAAGGTTTTAAACAACAACAACAGCAGCAGCAGCCACAGCACAGCATGAGCAAAGAAGGGGACCAAACACACTCCTTCAGCCTGCAAATAGCACCAGCCGGTGAAGTTGCCGTAAACTTTTTCTTATCGTCTAATCGCCACTAACATCTCCTTAAAAAGAAGGAAGTTGGTAGAGTTGGTCTGCTATAGCTCTACCAATGAAAGCCAATGCTCCACTGCTACCCGACAAAGAGCAATGCAACAATATTTTGAAAGTAGCAGGCAGATCGGGAGTTTTAGGACAGTTAAGTATCTTTTATCCATGTCATCCCTTATCCAGATTGAGCATCCTTTACCCAGAACACTGAAATCAGAAATACTCCACAATCTATAAAATGTCTGAGATAGTGACACTTTTGCTTTCTGATGGCTCAATGTATTCAAACTTACTAGAAGTTTCAAAATTATCACAAATATTGTATAAAATGACCTGAAGGCTGGGTGTATAAAGTGTATATGAAACATCAATGAATTTTCATGCTAAACTTGTGCCTCATCTCCAAGGTATCACATTCAATACATATATGGATATACCGGGATTCCAAAATTAGAAGAAAAAAATCCCAAACACTTCTGGTCAAAAGCATCTCAAGTAAGGGATGCTTAACCTATGATGGGAAGTTTGGGTAGCACCTAGTGCCATTTAGAAGGGCTAAAGATTTTTGTCAAAAGAGCACCTTCTTGTTGTTCTGCAAGGCCTTTAAGTCAACTTCAAACGAGGTTTGCTACTGCCTTTCATTGAAGTGGAGGACATCTTACTTCTACAAGGTTGTCTGGTCAGTTTCCATCTCTAAGTAGGGATTCCAGCCCTTGTTCTCTTGTAGTTCTAATGCAACATCAAACATGACACTGTGCTGGACCTCCAAACTTCCTTAATGGAGTCCAGCTCATTCCTCCAAGACTGGGAGAATTCAACGTGCCCAAAACCAACCAGCAGGTCACCTGAGGGTTCAGAGCCTGACCTCCATGAGTCTGAGTCTGAGATTCAAACGGTCTGTTCTATTGGCTTCTCTGCCTGATTCCCACCTGACACAAGAAACCTGCACCCATAGCACAGGGGCTGTTTTGCAGCTATTTCCTTTGACTTCCAAATTTCTATGCAAGTGCTGAACCAAACAGAGAACCATGTAACTACAGAATAAGATACCAGCTTGTGGTCTGTTCAAGAGGCTGGTCTGGATACCACCTGGTGACTCAAAGAGGAAGGAAAATGAGTTTTGTGAAGCAGCAGGATTATCTCAAGTCTTCCTGCCTTATATTTTTTTATGTATTTATCTTCTTTTTCTTCAATCTTTCTCCAAACACAAGGACTTGAAGTCACCCAGCTCCCAATAGCTAACATGACTGCCCATTCCCCTTGTGCTGACAGACGATGCAAAATTCGGATGGGAAAAAACCCATATTTTTTCTGCAGATATTTTACTTCTCTGACATCCTTTCCTTTTTCTAAAATGCTGCCGGGAGACTCCTCAAAGCATTTTCTATTTGATCCAACCCGACAAAACTGAAAACCTACTTAAGTTTGAACGAGAACCCCTTGAAATGTCTTTTTTTCTGCGCTTGAAACAAACAAATAAACAACAACATCAAATGGCACAAGCAAGCAAGGGTTTAAATAAGCTAATTACATTTCTGAGCTGTCAGATGGGCAGCTCAGGCAGTTTTATTGTTGAATGTGTTTTGTCAGTACACACACACACATACACAGAGAGGGAGAGAGAGACTCTGAAATGATTTGTGGTGGTCTCCAGAGTCTTTGCAAGTGATGATGTATATAAAAGGAATTTTTTATGCCAGCTGTAACCATCGGCAGTAATGTTTATAGTAGGTGAACATATTAGCCTGGACGCAGGGCATGAATTTTACTCTCGGAAAAAAAAATACGCCTGCTCATTTATACAGCCCAAGAGTTAAATGCTGGCATTTGAAGACAAATTACAGGCAAATTCATTCAAATTGCGAGTTACGTGGCAGAATATAAAAAGCAGACAAACCCACCATTCTCAAACTCGGATGCTCCTCTGCTTGCTCACCTTTTGCCAATCCACACAAAGCAGAATGGGGCTCATTCATTATTACAGGGCCCTTCCTTCTAGAACAGGATTCAAGTGCAAGGCTGGTTTCTGGGGTCCCATCTCACAAAGTAAAAACCACAGGAATACACAGGTATATTCAGCGGGTGAAGTAGGTGGGTTCCTGGCAACAGAGGCAAGAATAACAAGGAAAGAAGGGAGACAGGCTCCTTGCACCGCCAAAGAGGAAGAGCAGAGCAGCATGCTTCAGCAAACTTTGACCATTCAAAACCAGCAAAATGCACATGCAAAATGAAACAGCCACGTCAAGAAAGCACACAAAAGCATTTTGAACTTGAAACCTCCTTCTTAAATTATCAAGGCATTGTTCTTTACACTCCACAACCTCCATTTTTCTTACAAATTCCATAATGAGATCCCAGTTTATA